GGTTCGGCAATTGGAGCCTCTATCGCCTTCTTAAGAAAGATGCGCTGGGTTCGAAAGGACCCACAGCGCTTAGAGATCCGTCTCTCCGTCTTTCTCTCCAACTTGGGCGGAAACCACCCAAGCCTTTTGTACGGCTAGCAAGCCAATAGCTAGCCGCCACGTGTGCCTAAATTAAGAGCGGCCAATAACATGACTCAAATCTCAATACAAATGGCGGGAAAACTCCTTTGCAGCGTGCATCGCTAAATGCAAGAGTAATGCACAATGCAAAGAAGGCTACAGAACGGCGGGAAACACTTTTCTGCACGCAGGTTCTCCATAACAACAGAACACTCCGTCGTGCAAAAGAGCTCCAATTCGGCGGGAACATAATTTAGCGGTGCCGAAGTACACACAATTAAAAAATCCACAACTTTGGGTCGTGACAGACGCTAAGGGAGAGCTGGCGGAAAGGCCGTGAGCGTATTGGAGCGGCAGGGAGAGGCCCGGTGCCCTGGGAGGAGGACAGATGTCTAAGGGCCCGGCGTGGACCAAGCGCCCCCCACCCTGCTGCAGTCTGGGAGAGCCTGCCTGGCCGGGTGCCGACGTGGTGCTCCCGCACTGACGGGTGCAGCTGCCTTGGTGTTATTTCTGCTGATGGCTGCCCGCGGGCTCAACGTTAACGATGCCCTCTTGATTTGCCCCCTCTAGTCCTGCCTTTTTTCTCCCTTGGGCCACGTTAAAAGTCCACATCCACAAGTTCTCTGGGGCGTGAGGAAGCCGCTGACCCGCAATGGATGGACCCATGTTTGTGCCCCATGGTCTGGGCCTTGTAAATCCTGCACACAGTCTTCGGGCAGGGGTTGAGGCAGACCCTCCCTCCTCGGGGGTGCGGAGTCTGGCTCGTTAGACACGCCGCCATCGTTAGCGAGCACAAGAGGCCATTATTTCCATTTTATGGCTCGCGTGACTTTACGAGCAATGTTTTGCAAGTTATTGATAAGGCAGCTCATTTTAAAATACTGTGTGTTAAAGATTTCAGTTACCAGCTGAAATATCCTCTATCGGTTCCTCTGTTGAGATAACCAAGGCCCAACATTGGCACCAAACAGCTCTGGACATTTCACAAGGGAAGGAAGCCCATCCAAATCCCCCCTTCCCAGGAGACATGCACCCCCTCCCCAGCAGTTTGGTTTCTTCAAACACAGGCATCATCCTAATTTTTATGTGCAGACATAATACTGTTGGAGAGGGCAGGCTTGACAGCCTGGTAAACTGAAGTCTCCTGTTGACCCACAAAACAGTGACAGCACAAGCCATAGTAGCAATGCAGGCTTCCCACGTACCTGCCTCCGCCAAAGCTCCTTAATTTAAAAGGCTGCAGAGAGGGTGAGGAGTTGCTTTGGGAGACTGTCACCGTATCATTTCCTTAATCATACCATAAAAGTTCCATAAAACACCCTGTAAATTAATCCATGTCCTGACATTTATAAAAACTTGGAACCACATTTTTTCTGCTGATGTTTACAAGCATGGGAGAGACCGACTGCGAGTCACTGGAGTGCAAATTTTCACCTGTGCACATGCATTTTTACCACGCGGGTGAAGTTTCTTTGTTTTTTTAAATCACAAAACGGTAACCTGGCCAGCCAGGGGAGAGACATGTCCTTTTTGACAAAAGAAGGAATACATCTGCAGACTGGATTTAACCCCAAGTATCGGAAAAACCTGAAGACCTCCATTTCTGGTCTCTTTCCAATTGTATTTTTGCCCCAAACAGAAAATTGACGAAACGTAGCTTTGAGATCTGCGGTGTGAGCTTTCGAAATGGAGGGCGAGAAGGTAGAAACAGTCAACTGGGAAACACAGGTGTGGGCAGGGGAGAGGGGAGAAGACTTGAGAAGGAAGATGAGCTGAGAACAGGAAAAAGGGAAGCAATGAGTTTTATGGGCTGCTACTGGAGACTGAAAGGTTATTATAATAAAAGCAGGGTTCTGAGCTTCATGGACCAAAGGCTCATGCCTTTTACCTGGGGAGAGCTGAGCTCTCACTATGTCAGATGCTCCTATTGAAATAAAGGGACTGTGTTCTCCAACAGGAGACTAGAGGTGAATTCCCATTAACTCCTACAGAAGTTACTTATGCACTGCGTTGGTGGAAATAGGGTCCTTGTTGGGGAATAACACGTGATGAAGATTGCATGAAGCCTCTCTGCCTGGTGTCCATTGCAATCTTCCATTTCTTGGTAAACAGGGACTCATTTAGAGAAAAGCCCTGGGAACTGAGCTGGGACCGGGGAGCAGGGACTGAAGTCTGCGAGCTGCCGCAGGGAAGTTGAGTGCCCAGATGTGTGACAGCACCGCTATCAGAGAGCTGGGAAGTACACAGGAGCTGTTGCAGCAGACAGCCGCGTTCTGAGCTGAGCTCTGACGGCTGGGAGCTGATCCAACGGCGCACACGGGAATTGAGACGTGAGAGGTAGGCGCTGGATACCAGGAGTTAAGGTCCGAGATCTGAAAGCTGGGAGTGGCCCAGGTGTTCAGCTCAGCGTCCTCGCTGTACTACACTTGCTTGCCTTGTGACCATAGTAGGAAGATGTAGCATGAAAGGCTGGGCTGTGGGTGTGGGAGTTCACTTTTCTTGTCAGCAACAGGGTGTGCAGTAGGGAGGAAAGCATTTTGCCTGAGATTTTCCCAAGCTGCCCAGAAGATCAGGCCTCTCAGCTCTCATCAGAAATCAACGGGGAATTGTACACTGTAAGTTCCAGCATGGACTTCAAAATCATACCATAAAAGCCTGTGGTACACAGTTCCTTCAGAGCTGCACAAAGCAACTAGAAGTTAAACTACCAGTGAATTTTGAACAATGAGTGGCCCTTTAAAAATCACTGCAGGATCTCAGTGCAAAACGTCACTGACTTGAATTAGATACAAAAAAAAAGGCAGGATATTTAACATTTCAAGGCTGCTAATACATCTAAACCTGGTTAGAAAAGAGGCTACATGTTAATAGTAATATCATTATGAATTATTGTATATAATGACTTCCAAAGTGGTTAGCAATATTAACGAGATGAGCATTATAACTGCATAGCGTGGAAAGAATGTATTATTTATTCCCCTTTCAGAGAGATCAAATAACTAACCCATCATCACAAAAGAAGCCCATGAAGTGAATTCTAGATCAGGCTTCTTAAGTCAATGGACACATTACCATTGTAGACTTCAAGGTGCTTGGAGTTAAACTGTACCGAAGTGTAGCAGAGGCGCCAGATCTGCCTCCTGGGGCTGGACATTAATGTCTCTCTGTACAGGGACATTTTCATTGTTCCTCTGTAGATGGTGTGAATTCTGGAGCAAGGTGCTCTATCAGAAGTGAATTGCATTTAAAACACTGAGTAAGATCATCTGGAACAAATAGCAGCCTCAACTGTTTTTCATGGTGCTTATTATATTACAGAACATTTTTGTGGCAAATACACATTTCACTCTATTT